ATATATTTACAAGTTGGGATAAGGTATGAAGGAAGAGCACCAGAAACTTAAGTCCTTCCCAGGAAACCTGGTTTTGTGAGAGAGGACAGGGATGTGCTTGTTTTGAACTGAGCAGGCAGAGGTGGGAGCATTGAGTTCATGCTATGCTACTCACACTTATCTCCTTGTGGCTTGTCACAGAGGCTCTGCCACGGGTTTGCCACACCTCCTTCTTCTCTCTGCTGGAATCCTTGAGGTCAGCTCCTTCAGGTCTTGCCCAAATGTAATCTTCTACTTTAAATTCAGCAAGGTATCTGCTTGCAAAATGCCAATATGCTGTCCCTAAATCTGCACCCCAAATGTGACTAATTTTACTTTTTTTACTCAGTCATCTGAATTAGTATGCTCTCTGCTTTCTGTAAAATAAAATATTTTCCCTATTTTATTCATTGATACACTTTCATATTTAGAATTAGACTTGGGTACAGTTGGCTACTTTTAAAATTAAGTTAATTACTAAGGAAATGCAGTGTACTGAGAGCACAGTGGACAGACGTTGTTTTAATTCAACATTGTTAAGATGTAGGGAACCCCTTCAACAATTACGGGATATGGATTTGTTTATTTTTTATTTAAAGGTCTTGGGTATACACATGTGACATGGAGAGAGTGGGGTGCCTTGAGTCCACTGTGTCATCTAAACAGGTTTCCTGTGGTGTAAGCAGGCACTAGGGTTGAGGTAAACTGCAGGTAGCTCTCCCACAGGGAGCAGACCACAAGGGGGAATTCCACTAAGGCAGAGATATTGGGATCAGCAAAGTGAGTAACTCAGAGGAGGCAGAGATATGAAATTATCTGGGCCCCATTTGGGGTATGAGAAAATCCAACTTATGTACAAGGTGGATGCCAAGGCAAGGAAAAATTGTCAGATTTTACCATAACCCACTCCTGAGGCCCCAGCCTCACTCTCTAAACAGAAGGCAGTTGTCTTTCAACAATGAAGTTCTACTGACTTAGGCAAAAGAGTGTTTCCAGAACTTATGTTTGCAAATACAAGACAAGATACTGGAGTGGAAACCTGGAGAGGAGTCAGGAAAACTCAGGGAGGTGTTGGTCCTTTCCCCAGAGGCCCAAGGGCCTGACTGAGAAAGCAGAGGTCTCCATTAACTTTAGCAACCTGATCTGAATGCCCTTGGAGTGCAGCAGTATGAGCTTAGCACCCAAGTAGAGAGCAAGATGTGTATGAGCCCTAGGCTGAGCAGACAGGGAATTTAGAAGGAAAAGCAACAGTGTCCTGTGTCCATTTGTGTCTTAAGAGAGGAAGTCCATGGGCATTGCTAGGTGGAGGATTAGTGTAAGGGATAATGTCACCGGTGGCACAGGGAGCAAGTCATCTGCAACATGAAGGTCTTGAGTGGTGGCATTGTCACCAAAGCTGATGTTGCTTGTGCTGATGTCATCTCCATCAATGAGATTTTGAGACAAGGTGATATTGTCTGGGATACAGGCCTTTTCAAAGGAGTAGGCACTAGTGTTGATGTGGACAACATCCTTTGTCATTTAGGTGGAAGCAATGATCCAGGAGATTCTATAGATGAGGTAAGTTCAAGAGTTTATTAAAAAAAAATAATTGAAGGCCTGGGGCAAACTTCCAAGAGTGTTTTCTGCATTAGTAAGCTTTCCTTTTTCTGGGCCCATTATCAACTATTGAATGTAAAGGAAGAGAGGTTTAATTTACTTCACAATTGGAGGAGATTAAGTCAGCGGGCTCCAAGGCAGGAGCATCATGGCAGAAGGGTGGTGGTGCAAAGTAGTTCAAGGCGGCCAGGAAGCAAAGCAGAGAGCAATACCAGAGAGGAAGGGGCCAAGGAACAGACCTCAAAGTCACCCCCCACGGCCTACGCAGACACACCCAGTGTTCTTCAGTAATCCCCTGGTCAGCTACAAAGTCATTCAAGTGGATGTAGGTAAGCTTAACTGTCACAACTTGTTCTTCTGGAATTTAAGAAGGAGCTATTGGAAGATGCAATTATATCCTTCAGATAAATGGACTGCTTTGGGTCTAAAAGGAACACGGAGGCATATTGAATATCTGTTTTAAAGAGCTCAGAACAGTATTTTCTAGGAAAGGAAATGCATATGTTGGTTCAGTCTGAAAATAAAGACAATAGATAGTCTCCAGCCAAAGTCTTGCATGGAGACCTTAGAATACAATATATTGATTCACACAGTGAGTGTTGGTGAAACAAGAGACTTCCAAAGGTTATGAGTTTTATTTTTTTAAACATTTCTTTGTGTTATTTGGTTTCCTTGTTGGGTTTGAATTTTGGATTTGAAGTGAACCCATTTTTGGGATGTTTATATCAAAGGTTAAGATGAGATTACCAGTTACCAGGCATCCAGTGCTAAGATGACTGAAAATTTGTCAAGTGTACCACTCCTGGGTCCCCTTCTTTATTAGGGACAAACTGAATAAGGGATAGAAGTGAAAATCATCCCCCTAAGCTCTGTCACCTCCTGTACGATAGCCTACAGACTACTGTCATTGTGCCTTCTGTGAATCTCCTGGACTTTCCAGTTAGTCAAAATTTTTGTCAGTTAATGCATTTTAGCCAGTTAGAACCTGTGTTGCAAAACTAAATTAGAGCTCTTTGGTTATATAAAACCTTCATTGTAGACATTAATACATAAACTTGATATTGAATCAAATTAAGGGCTTTATTTTCATTTTGTTGCCTATGATATACAGACAACTTATTCATTCATTATATATTAACATTAAATTGTTATAAACATATCATTTATATGTTTTACTTTTCCTTGTATCTAAGGGTTTGTTCATAAATCAGTAAACAATCTAAGGCTGGCATTATGTTATGTTTGTTTGTTGCTGTTATTATTATTATTATTACTACTTGGATTTATAGTTACCTAAAGCAGCAGTCTGTTTCTTTTGCAGTTTTTGACTTTTAGCTACCTGAAGTCTTAAGGTTCTTAGTTTCATCTTGGGGTGAAAGTGAGAGGGAAAAGGGTCTTAGGGCCGCCAGGAGATGGGCTCACTAACTCCATGGCAGTGCCATGATAAGATAATCAGTCTTTTAATGAATTTTCTTTTTGTTTGTTTAAAGAAAGCCTTTCAGAATGGCTTGCATTTCTAGGTAGCTAAAATCTGTGTTTTGTTCCTTTGTCTGTGGGTGTTTACCTCTCAGGGTCCTGGAGGGACTAAGCACCCTGTTTGCTGCCACTTAGGGATAGTTACAGGAATGGATACAGGAATGGATGCAGAGAGGCCCCTGCTTTCTGGCCTGCTAGGTGCTGCTTCCCTTTCCAGGTTCCAGTGGGTCTCGAAGGGGACAGAAACAAGCGCAGGGGCTTCTGTGTGATTAATCTGTTTCTGCACGGTCCCAAGACCAGCACTGTCCAGCCGGGTTCACGCAGGGGCAAAGACCTCTAAGCAACAGCCTCTGCACCAGTAGGAGGTGTGATCAGTCTGAGTGGGGAAGACATCCCCTTGTGGTCCTCAGCGGCACTGCATCAGAAGAGCCAAAGCTTCTTAGCACATTGTCAGCATGGACCTGGGCACTGCCCTGAGGCCCTCGTAGCTCCCTCTGTCGCAGTGCTGGATACAAAATGAATAATCAATACAAAGGCACCACTGTGAGGAAAAAGGATTGAGGATGTCTCTGAGGAGGATGAGGGTACATATGTGCACATCTTCCCTGACAGGGTTTCAACGACACACCTGCTCTTAGGCAAGACTGTGAACCCCCTTTTGGATAAAGTGGGCAGCATTGGAAGTTCTTTAAATATCTTTATGCAGTGACAATTTAAGGTGGACAGCCATCAGTCCTCTGCCCATGTGACAAAGAAGCACAGTGTCGCACATTTGAATTGCAGAAAACAATGTTGCTTCACCTTGATCCCACCAGGAAGGAGGTCAGGAAACCTTAGCAGCCCAAAGACAACCTGTGCTAATCATGACAGGCAATCTCCATCTTGTCCACCACACTCATTGTGCTAATTTACAGTCTTTAAAATAAAGAGCACCCTTCCAATGATTAGCAGATACAAAAATAGAAATTACATTTTATGACTTACAAGTCATGCACACAGAAATCAGGGAATGCAGGCCAGCAGGGAGAGGCAGACAGCTGGACCTCCGTGCTTATTGGTCCAGGATGTTATCCAAGGAGCTTGCCCATGGGGAGTATAATTCATGACTTTGAAGCAAGCAGGCACATGTTCCAGGATGCCAGAAAATGACTAGAAAGCCCAAGTAGAGTATGGAGTTCATGAGGCCAGTTGCATAGGCTGTACATGGTTGTCCCACAGAGAAGCAGTCACTAAGAGGACTTTGTAGAAAGCAGATACCAAGGTCAATCACATGGAGGAACTGAGAGAAGCTGTAGAACTGTGAAGTGTGTCAAAGGTAACTGATCCCTGATTCTGGTCTGAGAAATTCCAGCCATCAACAACATAGAGGCTAAAACAACATGACCTTAGAACAAGGTGTCTGAAAAGCAGTCAAGGGAGTACAGAGAGGGAAAGTTGTAGCTGTAGGTGAACAAAACATATTAGAAGAAAAGGATTAAAATCAGCTGTCTTTGTTGGCAGATGCCCATAGCTGATCAGCAAATGCAAGTTAAGGGACTGAGACAGGAGAGAAAACAAAACTGAAAGCAGAAATTAATTGAGAAAATCAGCAAAAGCAATAGATCATGAACATTGATCGAAACTGGGTGTGGTGGCACATGCCTATAATCCCAGCACTTGGAAGGCTGAGACAGGAGGATTGCTGTGAGTTCAAGATCAGCCTGAACTGCGTAGTGAAACCCTGTCTGAAAAAGACAAAATAATAATAATAATATTGATGAACTCATAGATATACTTATCAAGGAAATACAAAGCAAAGCACACAATGAGGGATACCAATAATTTATGAATGGATGTCACTAGATATTTTATGGCTCTTAAGAATAATAAGGAAATATCATGAAAATTTTTAAATCAATAATGTCAGTGTTTCAGATAAAATAAATCCTTGAGAGACTCTATCTACCAAAATGATTCAAAGAAGAAATAAAAAGTATATTAAGGAAATGGAAAATTAGTATCCATACACAAAGATCTGTTGACAATTGCATTAAACATTTTGAGAAATAATACAAATTTTACACAAGTTCTTTTGGAACATAGAGGAGAACGTGCACTTGTCAATGCACTGTAATGAGAGAGCAAGATTTGGTGGCTCACATACACAGGCTAGCTAGTGCTTCCTGCTCCAACTCATCCAAGCTTTACTTCCAGAAGGCACCAATAGTTACCTCATGCAGTACAGGGACTTGGCAGGTGTGATCATGGGAAAGGTGTTCAGAAAAGAGGGTACACTGGTACCTTGAGTTTGTCCTAATGAATTCAACATGATGAGAAAGATTGCTGTAAGTGAGAAAGATTGTATCTCAAGTGGGGGACAGTCTCATAGGACCTCGCCCTCAGTCACTGGGATCTGACATGATGTTCGGTTAGAAAATGTCTAAGTTGAGCTACATTTGAGGCATCTGCTGCAACCCTGGTTGCCAGTAGAGAGAAATCCAAACACCGATGTGGGTGCCCCCAGAAATGAAGGGTCTTTGTCATATTGCCTACAAGAGTAGACCAGCCAGAGGAAACTAACGTAGCCATACTGACAGAACTAGAAATCATTCCTAGAGACAATAAAAAATTCTATAATCACTCTCTTCTGATTAAGCCCCACTTCTTTTTGAATGGTGTGTTTTCTATTTCATGCATTGCAGTTTGGTTGATTCAGCAGATCGGGTGTGGGAAATTCAGGAAGCATGTGGTCCAGGCTCAGCTCTTCAATCAGCCATGGAGCATCCTTGGCTCAACATTTTCAGTCTATGAAACAGAACTATTGTGTTCAATCCATATTTTGAGATACCAATACAGAAGACAAATGTAGGTGGGTATGGACTACTTTAATTTTTATAATTATGTTTATGTTTTTATTTTTAAAATATGGCAAATAAATCTGGTTTTATAGGTACTGTAGTATTAAAATCATCTTTGAAGCAGTATTTTAATTTTTAAAACTTAAGTAGACTAGAATTGCTTAACACAGAATAATTTAAGTACAAGTATGACATAGATGGATATAAGAACTACTTTGAAATGACTAAAATGGAAAAGGTGTTACAGGAAAAACTGAAGTTTAGAAAATAGCTTTTTTTTAAACAATCTTGCTTCTCTCCATTTTCCCAATCAGTAACCAATTTACTCATTCAGTTATTCATTCATTAAATATATAAATATTCATGAGCATCTTTCAAGTACAAGGCTCCAAATAAGAGCACACTAGAAACAAAACACTGAATGTGAAACATTCCCTGACCTGAAATACCCCAGACTCCAGCAGAAGAGACAAACACGTTTAAAATGGAAATGCACTAGGCCTAGAATTTCAGCAGGAGCATGATTGCAGTCCTGCCAACTTCTACTTTGGGAATTTTTAGTTTCTTCTGGAATCTACCTTGTTCTGAGATTCAGAATGATTAATTCAAAACACAAAGCTGGAAATAACACTGCTTTACTTTAAAATATTGCTTGACAAACAACGGTACAGACACAAATGTGCTCTCATCTTTTTTTCTGGTAAATATAGTTTTCTGACTCTTACTAAACAAAGTCATGCCCATTCACTGAGCACTGCCTATAGCTGCTTGCCTGCTGACAAGGTAAGTAGTTGTGATAGAAAGCTTGAAATATTTACTATGCGATTCTTTATGGAAAGAAAAAAATACCTAGCACATTTATTTTTAAAACCTTCTTATCAGATCCCTTTCAGGAACACCTGCCATCCAGATTTTTAGGATAGCGCATACAAAACTATAAAATCTCATCTCCTCGCGTATTTCAGAACATATATAACAAGCCACTCACATCCTAAAAACCATGACCTTTAAATCCCTTTGCAAGAAAGTGACATCCTTTAGTCCACACTTCCTTGCTCTTTCTCTCTGAGAACAGGGCTTACCCCTTACAACTCAAACTAAATTTACTTTGGGAAACCTACATGATGATTTTCCAAGGGAAAACTATGATTTCTTTGTTTTTGCTCTCTCAGTGAGCAGTGCTTACTCTTTGTATACTACTTAGCATGCTCTCATTGTTCCTTCATGGCTACACTGCTTCCACTGCAGTGTTATATTACTTGGAAAATAACAATTCAAGAAAAAATAGTAGAGATGAAAGTCAGAGAATTGCTCCAATAACCTTCCTGACAGTTAGTGAACATTTATTGAAAACTAATTAATGTCATTGCAACCACCTTTCCCCATCTAATTAGGTAAATAAGAATAAAGAAAAATAATTTTACCAAACTACCCATGTATGACTATTATATTTTAATCAAAAATAAAACAAATTTCTATCCTCTAAGTCACCTGGTATATATCACTACACTGTGGTATAGACACCAGCTAACTAATGTCGTATTTTATTGTGTCTGAACTTCAATTTTCTCCTGACTCTTAAGAGTATAAAAAATCTCCTGAATTCTCTTAATTGTATTTCCACTGTTAAGTGTTAAAGTATTTCCATGCCGCAGTATAAGTTATCACTTTGTTTGTGTAGCTTTTATACTTACACACTTAGTCTTTCTATCAGCCATAGACTATGCTGTCCTGTTTTCAAATTTCCTTGGGATGGTCTTCCCCTTCCTCAAATGTTATCATCAGGTACTTTCCCGAGAGTCTAGCTATTTCTATGCCCTTGAATTCATCATTGAGACCATCATTTCCTTGGGGCTTAACTACAGGATCACTTTTTTCTTCCCTCCTTTTCTGTCCACATTGCACCAAGTTCTCCCCTTAGAGTATTAAGTGTGAGCTCAGCTAGATGACACCCCATCACAGGCGACTTGATTTTCCATTTCACCTTCCATCCTTTAGTGCGACTTGGGGAATAAGAGTTCCTTTCAATTTGAAGATGTAAATCTTTATTTTATGAATGGTTTTGTTATTTCTACTGTATGTTTATTTTTGATATTTTTCCTGTGAAGGTCCACAGTGAGAATCAGAGTAGAATCTATCATCATATTAGATCTACTGAAGTACCATAAAATGAAGAAAATACAATCCACTTCTCAGGGTTGTAGTAAGAATTAAATAAATCAATAATATATTGATACTGTGTAATATTATATGTCATCATAATTTTATATGTTAATTTTTGGTTAACTTCCAGGTCTATCACATTGCCACTAATATTTAACATTGCTATTTTCTAATAACGTTGTTATTTCCCACTTCATTTTCTGTAATTTTCTAAAGTTTGTTTGATTATATTTCTACGCATGTTCATTCTTCCAATAAAAATCATTCAGTTAGCATTTATGTGTTGGGATTTCTTGTTGCTCAGTTCACCCTCTGTTTAGCCCTGAATTCTTCCTTTACTATGCTTTGGCTCACTCATATAGGAGTCGGTAAATTTTATTTTTTTAAGTGAGAAATTGTATATATTTTAGGTGTTATGGAATGTGTACAACCTTTTTTATAATTTCTTAACTTTCTAAGTATTTAGATGTGTAAAATGATTCTCACCTCAAAGATTTTTTTCATATACCATCAGGTGATCCATGTAGGAAGTAAGACTCCTCCATGTCCTTAAAAGCAAAGCAGATCCATACAATGAGATTTTGGCTTCACCAACAATCTCCATTTGCATCTCCTGGTATTTCTGGATCTCACTGATCTTGTCTAAGGATCGCCTAATGAGCCTTTCGGGTTGATGTCATTTATTCTAGAGGTATCAGTAGAGACCTGGAGGAGGTAATAGCATATGGCAACATGTCCAATGTCACCATGTTTGACACATATTCGTTTTAATTATTGTATTAGTGGAGATTTTACTTCCTTTTATTAAAAGGATTTTTTCTTCTTTTTATCTCTTTCAATGTATTTTATTGTTGATTGTAAATTTCAAGTGAGGGCAAAGAATCAAATATTTCTCAGGTGCCAGAAGCCAAAAATAGCATGATGAGGTCTTTCAAGTCTGTATCCCACATAAATCTCTTGCATTTAAATAAACATAATGTCTGGCATCTGAGTGCTTGATTAATATTGGTGTGATGAACTAATGTACAAATCTCCTTTATTTCACAAATGCAGAAGCAGACTGAAATTTATAGGCATGGCATCTATTCCAGAAAATTCCAATCACTCATTTGACCTCATATTTCAGGGAACTGTTGAAGTAGAGCTGCTCCTGCCTCTTCTCCACTGCCCCCACTGCTGCCAGCCCCTCCCATGTTTGCTTCCTTCCCCTGCATCTCAGCTTCAATGCCCAGCAGCCAAGTGAAGCCTGCGAGAGGAAATGAGGGCTCCAAGGGGCAGATGGGGACTCTGGAGACACCAGCAGGACTGCAGCTGCAAACTAGGTCATGGGGCCTCAGGGACCTGGAGGTGGGAGGCTCTGCGGAGGACACTCTGCCCTGGGGGGGCATAGGAAAGTGGGTTCTGTTTCTGTTTTAAAACCTTGCTATCTTCTGTCTCGCCCCAGCAATTGTGTGCTGAGCTTAGGTATTAAACTGGAAAGTGATTCAGAACACTTCAACTAGCAAGGATGTTACAGTCATAGGCTACGCCTTGACATCTAATGAGTCAGCTTCAGATCTTATGCAAATATCAGAACAACATCAGATGTAGAGGGAGAATTGCTCTCTCAAGACAAGAAAAATGTTGTTCTCTACCAGAAAAAAACGATAATCCTGACTATGTTATAGACAAAAGATAATAAACTTTTGAGTAAATATTGTTTTTTTCTCTGTGTCATTATATTCTGTCTGTCTCTTTCTGTGTGTTGCCCTTTTTCCTGTGTGTGTAGGCATGTGTGTCTCAAATGCACTTCATGGATTTAGTTAATTAACCTGGCACATGACGGATGCTTTAAGGATTGGGGTGGACTGTAACTGAACATGTAATTATCAGAAAGGAAAGACAAATAACCCAAAGGAAAGAAGGAACTCTAATGAAGACAAAAGAGGAAGCTACATTTTGTTCCCTGGGAATATCATAGACAGCTAAGTTAGGTAGAACTTAATAGAAAGCCAAAAAAGGATGGAGTGCTTGAAGGAGCCAGTGCAGAGAGATGAGATGCACCAAGCCTGTGACTGGAGGCAAAGCTGAGGAACGCCTGGCTTCAAGAGGGAGCTGCCACAGCCAAACCTTAAATCTTTCCTAGAGATAAACAGGAATTTAGGATTATTCTCCAATCAACACTGCCAGGTCTAGTGATCCCAGGCAAGCGTCAGATCCATAGAAGTGACCAGAGTATCCAGAACCTTACGCCCAATCCTTTGCAAGAATTCTTTTCTTCTTCCCATGGACCCTTGCCATGTGACTCATTTCCCTAGAGGATCAATGTTAGCTAAGCAACTGAACTTGTAATCTGATAGGTTGAATACAGCATGACCCATGTTGTGATTTTGCCTTATAAATACCCTTGATGAAATTCCCCCACAGCCACCTACTCCACTGCACTCCTGGAAAAGTAGGAGTGAGTCTTCTTATTCCCAATGAAACTTTCTTAGTTTCCCCCTTTGGTTCACAGCTTCATCCCTCAGTGTTGTGAGCCAATGAACTCCCCTCATCAGGCATTGAACAGGTCAGGAGTTACTTTTTGTGTAAAAGACAGAATGTGGGCATTAGAATATTTTACAAGCTTGACTGTGAAGACTGTCACTTCCCTCTGCTTCAGAAGTCTGCAAACTCTGAATCTGTGTCATGGGAGAAGACTTTAATGGGTGTCATGTGAATGCTTAGGGAGGTTTCAGAGAGATACGTTTCAGAAAATGCCTACCCATCATCATGATGCTCTCCTGATAAACATTAAGATCATCTCCTGCAGTAAGAGACAGGAGGAGGAGTTACTCATCTCTTAAACAACTTAACAAGAAGACAATATGGACCATAGAAACACATCTCGGCCAAATTCTTCTAAATGTTAAAAAGAAAAAGACTCATTAGCAAGGCCCAAAAGTGACTCCAACTCTTCTTATGAGATGTCCTAAAAAAAGATAATACTGAGGTTTTAAGTTTGATGTAGTTGTAATGTAACAGGAGATAAAGCCAGATTTCAAGTCGGATCAATCAACGTAAATCTCCTATATTAAGGGTCACAGGAAGGAGATGTAGACAGCGATGCTCTGAGGGCAAGTGGCTGTGGAGTGGCCTCCTGGTCACTTTTCATTCATGCAGAGATGCTGCAGTTTTTCATGCTCCCTCTCCTGCCTCCTAGCATGAGCATCTCTCATTTCACTAAAGAAAACTTACTTCTAACAGGTCTTAGACCAAAGAGCACTTTCTCTTTTTACACATGGATAGTATCTGAAGCATTTTGCAAAAGCCAACATAGGCGGCTGGTTTCTAATTCAGTCCTTCAAATAAAATTTAACAGCCACAGAAGTGCAAATTCACATTAATTTGCATACATATATGTGAAGTATGCATGTATCTCTATACTCACACCTTCCATTATTTATTCTAAAGTAATCTAAAACAAATTATCACACGAATGATAGCATCTATAAAATGCAGGATAGTTACATTAGAGCTCAAACTGAAGCAAAACACTGAATTTGATTTAATTGTGACTTCCTCACTCAGGTATTTATGCAATAAATCTCAAGTATGTACCAGTACAGCTAAGGAATTCACTGTGATGACTTTATTTTACCTGTTTAAGTACATTCTGAAGGTACTGTCCAATAAATTCATTCTGTGTTATGCTGATAAACATATTTTTATAAGAACAAATTCAAAAGAAAAATATTATGCAATTTCTTTGCAAAGAATTGTATCTCAAGGGCCCTGGGAAAAATTATTTTCTGTTCACTCAGCAAAATCAAGGCTTCATGGACTATTGGTTAAAATATCCTTGTTTGGAGTAAATTAACTTACCACTGACTTATTATCTTCTTAAAATTAAGTGTATTGAAGATAAAATAATCATACTAGGAACAATCTAAACCACTGGGTCACAGTTATGCACAAGTTGCTCTTATTTCTGCACATATTTTGAGCAAAAGAATGAACAATATTTTTGTTTCAAACATTCAAGTATTTTTCTACTAAAAACAAACAGCCTTGGGAGAGAGCTGCTGTCTCCCCCTGGGGCATATTTGTTTTAATATCCAGGGAAGAAAAGATAATTTCTCCTTCTATGGCGATGGTCAAGTGGTTTTCTGGCAGCTGTATTATCTAAAACTAGGATTTTCTAGCTCTACAGCATGCTATACTGTGTATTTAGTAAGCACATACCCTGTAGTTGGTGGGGGGGGGGTGAAGTTAGGCTTCAAGAATCTAGTATAAAAATATTATTCTGGCTACTGATATTGTGCAAGTAGCACACTATCTTTTGTCTCTGACTAGGAATATTGTGTCCACTGCCAGTTTCTATGAAGTTATGCAGGCTTACTTCTTAGTTTGCAAGTAGAACAAAATGTAATACATACCATGATTTTTGTTATAGACCTTCCTCCAGCATGTGAAATACAAGAAAATATAAGGATCATTCAAACTTCAGTTTCCTATTATCCAAAGACAACTGATGTGGAATTTGCTGCAAATATAATATACAAAATGATTGAAAATTCAAATATTCCTTTCATTGCTCTTCTAGGCATCACAGAAATGTACAAAGAGAACCACACACCTGAGAATATGACAGCCATTAATCATTTGTTCTCATCTTTATTTGGATGATCAGCAGCCAGGTGACTTTGGATAAACCATTTGCCTCTTAAGTACCGAAGTTAGTCTTCTATAAGAGGAATAAATGACAGTTATCTAATAGCGCTTTTGTCAACATAGATTGTAGTATACGTATAAATGGATAGAATAGAACTTCATAATACTCAAAAATTGTCAATTTCTTTTATTCCTAATGACTTTGATTGGCTTTCTAAAAATCTCTTTAATATAACTGGACAAGTTATACTTTATTACACTCATGCTTGTTTGGGCATTATAATAAACCAATTGTCTATTCACTCCCTTTTTCCTGCTCCTTTATTGTAGAATTGTAACAGTCTTATTTTATTCAAAGGCACAGCTCACTCTCAGTTCTGGAGATGGTACTCAATCAGTGTAAACCAATCTATGCATCATATTTCTGGCTTAGCAGTATGGCCTAAGATCAGCCAATCAAACCAAAAAGAAAACTTTGAGTTTTTTTTTTTTTTGTTGTTGTTGTTGTTGTTGTTGTTGTTTTTCAGGAAACTCCTATGAGTTGAATTGCATCCCCTCAAAAACAAAATATACAGAAATTCTACACCCCAGTACTTTATAATGTGACTATGCTTTTGAAGTAAAGGTCTTTACAAACATCAAATCAAGTCTTCCTGGACTTTCAGCAGGACTGAAAACCTTATAAGAGGATGACCCTGTGAAGAAACACAGACCATAGGGAGAATAGCATCAGACAATGAACACAGACACTGAAGGCACACAGCAGCAGCCCAGGGACACCTCCAACTGCTAGCAAAACCCTTGGACATTCAAGAGAATGTTCCTTACGGGTTTCAGAAAACACCACACTCCTGCCGCACTCGATTTCGTGCCTTTCACCTCCAGAACTGTGCGGTGGTAGTTATTTCATTTGGTGGTCACATGGTTCTTGCTTCACCTCATGGCAATCTTAGGAATCAAATATGGAAAATTCTGCTCATTTTCCTGGAGAACTGACATGGAAACTCTCTAACAACTGTGAGGAGAGAAAACCAATGCAGATGTAAAAGCAGAAAACTGAGTTTTCTGATGATATTCTCTCTGATGCAATTCCAAAGCTGGGATTTTTCTCAGCTTCTAAACTTCTTGCATGCAACGTTAAACTTCCTTATTGGACAAGTCAGTCAGAGTTATGTTTCCGAAACTGCCAGTGGGAAATATGCTAAGATATCAGCACACACACACAGTCACGCTTACCCTCCTCTACATATACATGTGTTGCTTCATTTATATTTATATGTTATACTTGTATACACACATACATATTAGTGACACACACACAAGTGTTGGCACTTGATTTACTCACTGCTTATGGTTGTGTATATATTATCTGGCTTGATGTCTTTGTTGTTTTCCATTTTATACAAAGAAAAGTCATCTTCTTTACAGCTTCTGAAGTCATTTGTTAAACTTTGTCTAATATAATATATAAAGCTATCCATATGGTCAGTGCTCCAAAAGCACTGGCTCTGTCTGAGTAATGGCCACTCTGCTTGGTAATTGTTCATTAAATTCCGGTGTCCCTCAGTCCACTCTTGAAGCCAAAGGGTAAATTGGTGCAGGAGGCATAACACCAGGCTCACAGTATTCAAAGGAACAATGTTGACTGACTGACTGAATGAATGAGTAGCTGCTGCTCTTTCTCAAAATCTTGAAATAAAATATCGTTAGCCAGCTTGTCTCTCACTTTGCAGTCTCTACTTTTTCTTCAGTCTGTCCCTCACAATGATGCAGGCAGCAGTGCCAAGCTCCATTAATTCCTAGCACTCTTATTTCTCAAAGTTGCCAGGCAGACTAAGGTTGGGAATAATGAATACAGGCTCTCATTCTGTGAGTGTTAATAATATTTACGGTGAAGATTTCCATGAGGAAGAGACAACTGCCTTTCCTGGAGTTTGACAAATGCTCAGGTATAGATCAACTGTTAGTCCCAGTGGAGATGTTGCAAAGCCTTCTGATGACATTAAGGACACCATTTAGACTTTTTCAGCATTCCACACTGGAAGCCTCAGTCAGATTTTACTAGAGAAACAGACACAGTGTCACACATACGCGCACACACACACACACACACACACACACACACACACTTGAATTTACCAGATTGTCTTATAATACAGAGTCAGATGAGGAAGCATACAGAGAGTGTCTGCATTCTGGAAGTCAAAGAAAGGTCTGGAGCTCACATCAGTGTCTCCGGAATGTCCCTCTCAGGAGTCTCATGAGTACACACCAGAAGGCTGAAGGACTTGTGCTGCAATCTGAAGAGTATGCACTGGAAGCCAGAAAATCACATCCAAAGTGAAGTAGAAGCCCAGAGCACCTCCAGAGAAGCAGAAGCTGATGCATCCCTCCTGGTCTCCCCTTTAGATCATCTAAGGGAAGAGCTGCCTTCGGGTGAACTAACCACTCAGCTAACATGGTTGAGCTTCTCTTACTCAACCTAGCTCAATCAGCTGATTGATCATCACACAGAATGAGATCTTTATATGTCCATCAATTCCTGTTCTGATAATCTGAAATCCTAGCTGGTCCCGGACTTCAACTGTTCTAGCTCTAAACGTTCTGTTTCGTGACAATCTCTCAAGCCAAAGCCACCTGGGACAGTCTCTTCTCCAGTTACCTTACCTTCCTCTACTTGGCTGTGAGAGGCCTCCAAGGATTGAAGGTTCTAACAGCTCTTTCTTTTTGAAACTTCTATGGAATAAGATTTTAATAAATAGAGATATTAAAGACTGAAGAAGAGCATCAAGGCATAGAAAAGCTTTGGTATCAGAAAGATATATCCTGAGGTCTCAGTCCAGTCAAGTAGTCAGATAAGACTGGGGAAATTACACCTTGCTTTCCCAATGCAGGTCCATCTTGCAGAAGAGGCAGGTGGAAAGGACCAGAAGAGCCATACCATGGACTAGTAATGTGCGTAAGACTGACAGTCAGCTCGCCAGCAGTCCTGCAATGCCTCACAGGCACGGGTTAAATTCTGCCAATTTCAGTATTGGCACTATCAAGGCTACCCAGTAAACATTCCTGTGATTACTATAACAATATCTGCAAAATGCCTAGAGCACAGTAGTTGCTTGCTTCATGAAAGCCATCGGTAGTGTTATTATCATTCAAATGAAGGAAAAGTGTGCTGAGTGCTCATAGTGTAAATGTTGGAGCGCTTGCTTTTGGGAGAGGTGAACCCTGAGAAGTAAGCCACCTGGGGTGCAATGCTATCTCCCTACTGCTAGAGCAAAGCACTTCATTCACTTGCAGTTTGAGCATGTAGCACCATGCACAGAGCCTGCATTCAAGGAGAAAAAATCAACTAAAGAGAAAATGCCTTGTTAAAAATAAGAAAACCTGAACAGGTACAGAAATACGAACACGCTGAGAAGCCAGAGATAGTCCGTCGTCTTGAATTTTCTTCCGTTTTATACCTACAGTGTTCTCTCAAGAGTCCTTTTACTCTCTTTGGTGTCAATTTTCTTCTTTTAAAGATCCAGGTACGTATTCTCACTTAATTATGTTTTTCTGGCTGCTAACAGCTAACTACATTTTACAAACATTAAATTTCCCAGTCACAGATGTTCTTTCCTTGTTGTTGTTAATAGTGCTCAATGTGGCTAAGTGTGTGCTCCTCAGAAAGGCAGCAAATGCAGGTCAGAATCTGTGGCATCTACTGTTTACACACCAAGAAAAAAACAGAAGAAAACCACAGCCACCACAAGACAAATAGCCTTTTTAACTTTTTAAATACCTATTCTGGGAAATAAAGTATTTCCTTGTAAAAGCAAATATTTCAAAGGCCAGGCCACTTTTCCTTTGTCTAAAAAGTCACAGAGAGGATTACTGGATTAACAGGCCTGCAAATTCCCTGGAATTCACCCTCAGGAAAAACTACAGAAATGAGTATAACAAGCTGGGTTCAGAGTATACCACCGAGTGAACAGAATGTGGGACATCAACTGGGATGAGTGCGGTTTTTAGGAATCCTTGCTTTTCCAGAAGTGTTTCATAACTGTCCTTCATCCTGGTTCCTGCTAAGTGCTCCTGAAAGCTCCTGAGTAAAAGGCAACATCACAAGTCTACGGTGGTGAAAATTCATGATAAAGAAAACTTGGGTAATAGGTCTCATTGTTGAGTTTACCAAAGAGCAACTCCTCCTCTCTGTCCTCTACTGTCCTCTACTGTCTCTCTCACTCCACAGATGTCTAAGAGCATTCTCCAAGGGAAGACTGAGCTGGAGATCCAGGCAAGACAGCGGGACTAAACATCAGACATGGGTTTAACATTCATGGGACTAACATAAGGAAGCAAACCTCCACTGAACATTCACCCAGACAAACGCAGAAGAGCCCGAAGGGCCAGTCATGCAGAAAGATTCACCATTTCAGAGAGACTTTCATGAGCATGTTCTGTCCCAGTTCAAGTCTTCAGGTAAGTTTTCCAGACAAAGTGCAGTTTAAGACAAGTCCCTGGGCTTAATTTAGAATGAGAGAAACAGAGATCAAGAAAGAGAGATGGCGGGAACCTCCCAGGATAAAGAAATAGCAAGTAGAAAGAACAGAGACAGGGGAAGCGGAGGAGCAGTGTGGTGAGAGCTGAGACCGAGGTGTGACGAAGACCTGGGAGAATACTTAGGACCTCAGTTCCTAGGAGCTTTGGCACTTGTCCTATGGCTCTACAAAGATAGCAAATAGTTTCAAATGGAGGGTGACAGACAATTAGATTTGTAGCTTCGAAATTCACTCAGGCGGTGTTTTATTGATGGGTGAATGCCCCTGGAAATATGAGCCTGAAGAAGAGATCATTGTCCCACTGCTTGCAGTGATGAAAGGATTATAGGAACGTGGGATGGTGGATGGCTCTGACATACCCAGAAAGAAATTTTATTGAAGTGAATTTTGACAAGTGCAAGGTTTTGCAAGATCGTGCCAAGACTGAAAGCTCTGCCAGCAGCTCGCCATGCAAAACAGTATCAGAGGTCAAATCACAGGGTATCTCCAGATTTTTAGATTAAAGAGTGATTGGATATTAGCAATTCCACGGGGTCTCTCTCTTCTGGCAGGCATTCTTTATTCAACAAATGAAATTATTTGATTCAGCTAAACATAAAATAGCAACCTAAGTATGGATACAGTAACAAGATTTGACACTCATAACCGAATTTTCCAACTTTAGACCTCCAAAGTCATTTGTCAGGGTCATGAAAATCTGGTTTGATACCAGATTCTAATATGGTCCAGAATATTGCTTTAAAATACTCAGATACCTAAGAATAAAATAAAATAAAGTTTAAAATAGCTTGGCAAATACAAGTTTCTCTTATCAATAGTTAATACCAGACAAACCCCAAGATGGTGAAATATGTTTTCATTTTCAAACAATCCGAGAAGCATATGCTGGCCACTAGAGAAGTAGTTTGTAAAACTTGGGATGGAGAGATGAACTTAAAAGATCTTTATAAGCAGCAAAAAAGGAATATTTAGAAGGTAAAGAAGGGCTGGAGTTCCATGGTTAAGGGTGTACCTGTGCAGATTTGGAGGATTCTCTAGTCCATTTTCTGTTTTTTATTTTCTGTAACAGAACTTCCTGACATGGAGCCTTCTCAGAGCAGTATCATCACATCCCATTCAGATAAATTAGCTCTCCGATCTCATTGACTCATTTGTCAGAAATGCCAAAATACAGACTGACCCACATGACCCTCTCACTGAAAATGCATATAGAGTGTCAGTGGGGCCTCCCTCTGACAAGCCCGGAGTGATGGTTATCGTCTGTTTCTCCTTTTCCTGTTCATCATCATAACCTCAACTGAACTGCTCCTGTCATTGTGAGACACAGACTCGCTTTTGGAGAAGAAGACAGATGCTTCAGGCTGGTGTTTTCAATATGTCACTATTAAGATGCAATCCTTGTTAAAAAAGGAGACATGAAGTTCACTGAGTACCTACTTTGTGCCAAGATTGGCACAACAATAATTTCATGAAACACTCACAAATTCCTTCCAGCCACTGGACCTAAAAACAATTACCATGCTCAGCCTCTCACTTCACAAGTTTTGCTGTCCTGCGTCCAACCCAAGCTATAGAGATTTCCATTTTACTGTGCTGCCAGAGGATTCTAGCTAGCATCTTTCCCTGGAGATAAGTCAGTTATCTCCAGGAACTCACATTCTTTCTCTTTCCTTAGATGGAGCAACAACACATCTATATTTGTAGATACTTTATTTAGGCTTTTGGAGAATGCAAAAGGAGAAGAAGGAGGAGGAGAAGGACAGAAGGAGGAAGAGAAGAAAGAAGGAGGAGGAGGAGGAGGAGGGGAGGAGGAGGAAGAAGAAGAGGAAGAAAAAGATGAAAGCATCATCCATTTAAATAATTAACCAAAAGCTAAAGCTTCTGTCCAAACAAAGCAAGTCATTTTGGTGCCTGGCCAATACTGTCCCTAGTGGGGTGCTTGCCATGAACTTGTAAACACAACAAAGGAAACAGAACCCACACAAGTCCTCTGCTAAATTATTCCATATTGACACTGGAACATCCAGGCCATGAAATATTCAAAGGATGCAAGGTTGAATCAAAGTGTACCCTGTAATTCATACCATACCAACTGAACAGTAAAATGTGATTTAATTTACTATATAATTTGCTTGTTCAACAAAGCTGAAAGATAACTCACTTAGTGCCACTTTGCTTATAAGTGAACCGGTAACCGGCCGTGTTCTTCCAGCAAATGGTTTTGTTGTCGATGCCAGAGAAAGCTGTTTGAGTGGAAAATACACAAAATTAAGGGTCTGCTGCTGTAGTATTTGCAGTGCGCTCCTTTTGTCCTCGACAAGTTTATTTCTGCACAGAGGCAATTAGAGCCCTTTGTTTTTCTAACTCGATGAAGTTACTACGTCTTGCTTGGTGGCACATGACTAGGGGAAAATACATTCAGCCAAATTTAGAACCATTTGGAACTCATGAGTTGTGAATTTTGAACCAAACTTGAATCTTTCAAAAGCTCATCTGTTCCACAGTGCACGCCAGCTCTGCTTGTGGCCCTGCAGGCCTGGGCATCCTCTGAGGGTGTAGCCAGTGGTCCTGAAGCCCCTGGTGTTTCTCCTAATTATCAGACTTGGTGTCCCTTGTTGTAAAAGCTCACATTCCACCTCCCTGCTGGAGGAGAGACTTCCCAAAGGTGACACATGAATCTTGGGTTTTAGCCACTTTTTCTTAGTGTCTGCCATATGTCTCTTGAATCTAGTTGACTCTTTTGTCCACTAAAGACATTCTAATGCAGACCTGCGTTAACCCATATCTGCCAGGCTCTGAACCCATCTCACCCCCACAGTAGGAGACTCTCTGGGGTTCCTCATGCATATTCTCATCAGTTCCATTTCTTGAAAACTCTCCTGGCATGCCTCATGCCCCTGCTCCAACATCTCTTATTCATTTATGTAGCTCATCTCTGCTTTCATTCACGAGCTACTCTGGAGCAGCAATTATCCATCAGGCACTGCGGGTATTCTCTGGGATAGACAGCACTGAGTAAAGAGAGGAAAAGGACCAGTCCTACTTCTGTATAGCTCATCTGTGAACTTAAACGTTCGATGTCACCTCAGTTGATGCATGCTTGGCAAAGGTCATTATACTGAAGCTTCAGCAGCTAGGGGTAACTGACAGAGGATGCTCAAACCTGGGCCTCTGGAAGATCCCTGCAGCTACTGGAATGCAGAAAAAGCACAGTGGGGAAAGGAAGGACTGTTGTCTCAGCAGAAGACACAGATGCTGAAAAGCACAGACGAACTGGAGAGTGAACCCAGAGATCTCTGAGGCACAAACTTGGGAACAGAGTATGTGGGTGTCAACAGGCAGGAAAGTGGTGGGGATGATGGAGCCAGGCTAGAAGAGTGGAAGAAAGTGAAGCTGGCCAAGAAAGCAAGTGCCAGTTCACAAAGGGAACAGCATAGGCTGATAACGACTTCGGACAGTGTCCTAAAGACAGACAGCCACATTGTCTGAGGGCTCCTTCTCCTCGATGAAACACATGGTCCCTTTGCTTTTGCTCAGTGTTGTGGGTCTCAGGGAATTGTTTTTTCCAACCTACCTGGAGAAACCATGCTCATGCTGTGTCCTCCATCAAAACTCACTTCTCAGGGGGCACATATACATTGACCACGCTGCAGGTTTTTGCCTCTGGCCCTTGGGTACACTGGCTTCCAACTGGAAACCCTGCCAGCCTCTTTTCCTCAGGGACGAGGCTCTCTCCCATGGCTCCTACAGCTTTCCTGTTAAATACTGTGGCTCTAGCCAGGAGTGGGATAATTGATTTGCTCACTCAATAAATATTCACTGTGCCTTCACAGGACAGAAATAGTCCTAGGTACTGAAATAACATTGATGAGTAAGAAGAGGAGGCTGTAGCCTTCATGCATACTCTATTCTGGGGAAATGGACTACCACAAGAGCAGTTGATACCCTCAAACTGATGCTTATATGATGGGGAAAAATGCAGAAAGCCATGAGAAGCCTGAGAGAGAAGGCTAATTTGCATTTAAGCAGTCACAAAGACTTTTGGAAAAAATATTATATGAGCTAAATTTAAAGATGAGTAAAGTCAGCAGAAGAGAAGAGAAGAAAATACTGTTTTAGGCTGAGAAGAGAGCACACAACCTTCTCAGGGACCGGAGAGATAAGGGAAGATTCAGGCAATAAAGCCACCATGTTATGCCTAAGCCTGAATGCCAGAGATGACAGTGAGTGATTCTAAAAAGAAAGAGAAGAGCAGAGAGGATTGACACGATGGTGCTAGGAACAGGGATGCAGCTCAAGCCAGCTGATGTGCTAGGTCCAAAATGGTCCTTATCTCACTGTATTCTAGCAGGAGAGCCTGACTAACTGAACAGCTAAGGTGGAGAGATGGAGCTGAGCAGAAAGAAAGGACTTTGTTCTGTACTGAAACAGAGACCTCAAGGCACTTGTCTAGGGATGTAAGTGATGCAGGATGACAATGTTCAGGAAGTATCATCAGCGGTACCTTTAACCACAGAAGGTCAGAGTCAGTGGATCCATGTCCCTGTGTTCTCCAATGCCAGATCCAAGTCCCAAGTTCCAGGAGTGAGAATCCTCCGGACTGAGTCACATCTGCCCTCAGAACTCACCCACTTATCAATGACTGTGAGTGGCTTTTTTCCGTTCTTTCTCAAATTTTTATGATTTCCTTTATTTTTCTTTGCAGGAACACTTTTCCAAAGAAATCACTGGCAGGCAAATCCTTGTCTGCAGATCTAGACTGGAAGAATAAGGGACCAAGGATCATCTCAGCAGAAGGAACAGCCTGCTCACAGGCTGGGAGGAATGAGAGTGAGCACAGCTACACTGGCCTCTGAATACCGGGCCAAGACATGGGGAGTGTGTTTTGCAGACAGGGATGAATCATCAGTTAACAAGGCTATTCATCTCCAGGAAATGATCCTGAAGAAACGCAAACCAAAACATAAGGCCAGGCATGCTGCGATGGGACGCTGTGGAGAGCATGCTGCCCATGAGGGTGTAGGCCTGGGGACCAAGTGAACAGCGACACACAAGGCCTCAACAATGGCAGTGACAGCTTTGACAGATTGGAGGAACACTGGGAAGACTTTGTTATCCTTGTCATGATGACTTACAGTCCTGCTTCCTCCTCTGGAAAACCATGAGGGTCGTGAAGAGAATACTAACAATGACACAGTGCAAATCGTGCCAGTGGCCTAATGAACCTACCCGTGATGTGCTTAGGAAAGAAGTTTTCTTAGAATAACTCAAGCAAAGCCAAACATACAGAGTGAGAGGCCCTAAACATGCAATTACAGTTTACTGAGTTTAAAATTTTGTTTGGGTATGTGGTGCACAATCTCTAAAATATAATTACCGAGGAACACAGTTTAATTTGTATCAGTCACAATTTATGGCTTGTCTATGTTTATAGAAATAATTACGGTTTGAAGTTTCTTGTGCCTTCCTTGATGCATAGAAAAAATGATTATCAAGCCCTCAGCAGCAGCCGCCTTCCCTGTGAATTGGCAGCAATGGGCCCTTTAATCAGGAAGAAGAACCCACAGAGCCAAAGCATTACATATTGTAAATATACAATCTCAGAACCACAGTTAACATTTTATAATGAGAATGTTGGAAAGAACCATCTTGGGCTACAGCAGAAAGAGCCCACCTAACAGAATGCCAGTAATTAATGGTTACTAAGCACAGAAGGCTGTATTCGCTCCTCCATAATTGTACCATATCCAAACACAAACCAGTTTCTGCCACCAACTTAGTATTTAAATAATTTTTTTCAAGGCTTTAGGCATAGACACCAACTAGAGGTTTGACACAGTTAATGATTTCTCAACAAAAATGAACTAACTCATTATGGGACCTTAGACAAGTTATTTAACTGCTCTGACTTTCATGTTTTCTCATCCTTCTAAAAATGAAATTTGAGAAACTAGTTTTAAAAGACCCTCCCAGTGCCCAAAGATCAAAAATCTATATGGAGAAATGTATGTAATTATTCAGTGTGGAAACACCCCTCATATGTATATTCCACATGTCTATACAGATAACACACTTTGACTGTGAAATCCCCAACGGTGCATTATTTCCTCTTTGCATAAAAAAATAGCAAATGCAGCAATGAATTCATATGGCTTTCCATTGAAAATATCGCTTAGAAGCATTTTGATTTGTGGAAAATTGTCAAGAACTTCCACAGGGATGGATTGTAGTAGAAAAAAGACATCAAAATTAGAAGCCACCCTATCATACTGTGGGGCAGCCCTGCCATCCCCTAAAGGCCATCATCTGTCTTGTCATCCAGCAGGCTGTATAACTTGTTCTTTGTTGAGCGGGTCATGCATTATTTTTCACAAGGGAAAGAGTATTTGGAAAGAGATACAGGGAAGAGTAAATGCACTTCCAAGGACACTCAACTGCAAGTAGCATTATTATGAGTCATTTAAATAGCACTTCGTAGGCACAGTGCTCTCCCCCTACTTTAGTAAGGGATAAATGTAAGAATTTGCCATTCTGTGGCCCAAATATATTTAAAAATGGGAAACACTTCCTTGCAGAATGATTGTGTAGGGAATCACTTGCCTGTGAGTCTTGAACATTAATAACAACCCCACAGCCAGTCACAATGGTCCTGAGAACAGAAGATAAGGTGCGATGACAACTTGGAAATGCAATACTCAGTAAGAGGACCAGGTAGATGGAGAAGGTGATATTTGAGCAAATCTTGTAGGAAGGGGGAATTTAGTAATGTGGATTCCTGTGCAAAGAGCAGTGGAAAGAGCTGAAGGGAAATCCTAGCACAGAAACCTACCCAAAAAGTTAGAGGAATATCAATAAGTCTGTAATACATTCACTGAGAAGAGACTGAAAATAAAGTAGACAGGCACAGAGAAAGTCGCATCACATGAAGTCTTAGATACTAGGAAGGCGTTGGCTTTTATGTAGTGTAAGACAAAGAACCACAAGCATCCTCCTGCCAGTGCAGGGTGGAAACCAATCTAAGGGACAAAAATGTAGTCATGGAAACCAGTTAGGAGACAGTCGCAGCAGCTCAAGCAGGAGGAAAGGAAACAGTGGCCCAGATTCATGAAACAGTAGAAGAAAGCAGGCTCCAATTCTAAATATACTTTCTGAAGGTACAACCCAGAGTATTTTCTGATGGTCTGAATGCGGTACAAAACGGTAAAGAATCCAAAGGATTCCAGAGTTGCTGGCATGAATAGCAGGACGATGTTAGCAGCCATTTAGTAAACTAACAGGCAAAGGCTGCATTGGCAGAAAGGTCAAGGGTCAAGTGGGAATTCTGTGTTTGAATGGATGCCCGCGCATACATTTCAAGTTGACAGTCCAACGTGCAAGTCTAGAATTCTAGGCTAATCTTAAATATTTAATTACCATTGGGGTACAGGCAGCATTTGAAGATTATAAAATGGAATTATCTTGTGGTCTGCAATATCTCTGCTGGGCATATATCCAAAGGAGGTGAAATAAAGCAACTTGAAGACAAATTAGCACTTCTACATCCATTGCAGCACAATGGAAGTAACGTAAGTGTCCATGGGCAAAGGAATAGACAAAGAAACTCTGTCGTGTAGTATGAACGGACACAACTGTCATCCCAGCACTCGGAGCCTAACACAGGAGGATGACAAGTTTAAGATTAGCGTAAACAACTTAGTGAGGTCTTGTCTCAGAATAAAATATAAATATGGACTCTGATGATATCACAGTGTGAAGGCCCTATGTTCACCCCAGGGCCACATTTTTTTTTTCTTACTTAAATACACAACAGTTCAAGTGTTTCACCTATTTTATCTTCCAGTACATTTACTATTTCTATTCCAATTTAAATTTTGATCCATTTTGATTTTAATTTTTTTTTAATTTTATTTAAAAGGAAAAAGAGAAAAACACAAAACAAAACAAAGTGGTGTAAAGGTACAAGTAATACAGAACTAAAAAAAAAAAAAAAAAAGTAAGAAATCACCAGTTAATAGATTACATATTATCGTCTTAGAGATAGTTGCTCAAATCACAGTATCAAAGCATACAAAGTGGACATTCAAACAGTTGTGTTCAATGATCCAACCAAAAACATTAATATGGTCAGCTATTTAACACCCCTAAACACACTTGCTGTTGTATCCTTTAGAGCTCTTTTTTCCCTCTCTTTTTTACAACAAAATTTACACATTTTGGGTTTTATTACTCCTTAGTTCTTATTACTTTTGGGGGGGGGGATAGAATAAAGTCAAATATGGCAAAACAGAGCTGTCAGTCAAAACCAAGGATAGACATAGCACATGATGTAAAACAGAGTACAAGGTTATCAACAATGGTTATCAACAATGTCTCTTGTTTCCTTAAAAAGAATTATCTATCTCATTATATATTATAAAGTTGAACAAAACAGTAGAGAAGGAGACCAATAAAACTTAAGCATTGTAAACATTACAGGACTTCCAAAGGAGACAATAGTCAAACCAGAATGGGCATCTTAGTGAATCTTATTGCCTTCAAAGTAGTTGCCTATACCATCAAACTTGATACTATCATACAGAATGGAACCCATTCTGATTTTAATTTTTTACATGATGAAATGGTTCATTTTTCACATGGTGAGAGGTATGGATCCAGTTTCAATTTTCTGCCAACAGTTTTCCAATTTCCCAGCACTACTTGTTAAAAAGGCTTTCTTTCCTCTAACATGTGCTGTTGGCCTCTGTCCGAAAGATCAAATAGAAGAACGTATCTGGAGATGTTCTGTATCCTCTAATATTTACCTCTGTTCTTAATCCTCAATTCTTGCCTGTATTCTTTGAATCGCCTATCTGTTTTTCTTCCAATATCATGCCATTTTATCACTGTAGCATTGTAGTGCCATTTGAAATCAGGTATTGTGATATCTTCTCCTTATCTTGTGTTGTCCAAAATTGCTTTTGATAGTCTGAGTCTTTTTGGTTCCATATGAATTTTAGGATTGTTTTCTATAGATTTGGAAAGTATGTCATTGATATTTTAATTGGGGTGCATGACTGAAATTACACAAAAAATTAACAAATGGATTATATAAAATTAATAATGTCTGTACAGCAAAAAATCAATTAATAGAATGAAGAGGCGGTCTACAAAATATGAAAAAAAAATTGTGCATCCTTTCCTCAGACAAAGGACTAATATCTATACTACATAAAAACTCAAAAGTTTAGAGCACCTACAATGAAATGAACAAGAGAAAAGAACAGAACCCTTACAGAAGAAGAAGTACAAATGATCAGTATTTCTGGAAAGTAGAGGAACATAAATTAAAACACTGTTAGGAGTCTGTATAACCCCAGAGAGAATGATAATGATCAAGAAATCAAACAGTAACAAACTCTACAGAGGCTGTGGGGGAGAAGGGACCCTCCTACACTGATGCAGGCAATGTAAAATAATACAACCATCGTGAAAATCAGGATGGAGATTCCTCAAAGTATTTAAATTAGACATTCCATTTTACTTTAGTTACCTCCCTTTTAGAAATCTCCCCGCAAAGAGCTTAAACATATTACAACAGATACATGCATAGCAATGTTTATAGCAACTCTACTAATAATAACCAAATCTTGGAAGCAGCCTGTAGAATCATAAGTAGATGATTGCATAAAGAAAATGTGACATTTATACATAATGGACTACTACTCAGCTATAAAGTAAGACACATTTGAGACATTTGGAAAATGGCTCCACATGGAAAATATAATGTGAAGAGAATAAAACAGTCACATAAGCTGAAATACCATGTAATATTCCTCAAATGAGTA